AAAAAAAAAAAAAAAGGAAAACGGTTGAGTCCTGGTAAGAACACATCCCTGGATGTGCCAAATGCGCCTTCCATTTCTCTTGTTACCTGATTTCCTTACATCTGCAGCTCTACACTGCCTAGTGTGACACATCCTCTCAGAGATTTTGGGGGCGCCTGGGTGGCTCAGTCGTTTGAGTGTTCGAATCTTGAATTCAGCTCGGGTCATGATCTCACGGTTCATGAGATGGAGCCCCACACTGGGCTTCATGCTATCAGTGCAGACCCTGCCTGAGATCCTCTCTTCTAAATAAAAATTAAATAAAAAATTTAAAAAAATTTTTTTAAATTTAAAAAAATTAAAAAAAAAAAGGATACTGAGTTTCAGAAGCTGTCCATACACCTGTGTATTTTCTTACCTTCAATACCCAACAACGGCTGCTGACTGACATTAAGTTTGTTGAGATCACCATCAAACATTCCTATCAAAGATGTTTTTAAAACTGCCAACAAAAGCTTCTCCTCTTGCAGTAAAATTTGCCTTTTATCGGGAGTAACATTGACGTCAACACATTCTAAGGCCAAAAAAAAAAAAGACACTTATGTTTAAAATCACCTTTAACAGAAATTTCCCCATCTATTTTATTCTCTTGCGCTTACCAAAAGTACTGTTAAAAACACTGCGGTGTCCGGACTAATATTCATAAACTGTAAAATCAGCACTTTCAGAGAAACAAGGAAAAGATGAACCGTTTATTAAACGGATAGAATATGCAAGTATCTGAACAGTTAATTTGCAAAAATAAAGAAAGAGCAAATAAACACATGAAAACATAGGATAGAAGACCGCACGCCAAAATAAGGTCCTTCTAGTATCGCCCACTGAGTTTGGTTAAAAATGACACTACCCAATACACGGCTCTAGATGTGTAAATGAGTACAGCCCGATCCTAGTCATGGACACACTAATTCTAGTACTAGGAATGTATCTTAAGGAAATTACCAATGATATAGGTAACAATTTAATATAAGGATAGTATTTAAATTTCTAAAAACTGAAGACAGCTAAATTAAGGCTAAGAATTTAAAAAGTTTAAGATACATCTGTACCTTGGAATATAATGAGCACAGATGTTAAAATCATGTTTCTGAATAATTTTTAGGACATGGAAAAAAAAAAAAACATTTATGTCAAAGGATAAAGAGCTTGATACAAACTTACCCAAACTTATTTTCTCCCTTTTATAAAGGATATGAGTAGGGATATATATATAGCATTACGTATTTTAAGGTGTGCACATATTTCTAAGTACCTAAGAAAAAATCCTAGATAACAATAAAGCAGAATTTTCCCAATCAGAAGAAAAACAGCATTATTTTTAAAATCAGGGGGAACATTTGGTTTGCTTTCTCCCTTATGTGCCATGAAAAAGTCCTATTTTTCTAATAATACCATTAACCTGGTCTCAAGCAGAAAGCAAGAAAGCCTGTATAAAAAATAAAAGTCTATACAATATAATTAAAAGTCTGTAAACAAAAAATACACTGCCATTAACTGTTGCCACAAAAATCCTTTCTGGTCATATCATGGCTTTATGATTTCATTTTTTTCTTTTAGGGGTAAGTCACCAACATGACGGAAAGCTCAGTGGAACTTACCTGAATCAACAGAAATGTTAAGAACAACAAATGGATACTGATGGCGATTATACATATGATAGACCTCGTTCACAAGTCTGGAAACCTACGTACAAAACAAAGGTTAAAAAAGAACAAACATTCCTGTGTGTCCCCCAACACGCTGCTCTAATCAGCCACTACACGGCTATATCTTAAAAGATTGACTGAGGTAGAGCGGGCCTGCAATAAACTACATGTATTTTAAGTATACAGTTTGAGGGGTGCCTGCGTGGCTCAGTCGGTTAAGCATCCGACTTCTGCCCAGGTCACGATCTCAGAGTTGGTGAGTTCAAGCCCCGCATCGGGCTCACTGCTATCAGCATGAAGCTGGCTTCAGATCCTCTCTCTCCCTCTTTCTCTGCCCCTCCCTGACTTGCATGCACACGCTGTCTCCCTCTCTCTCTCAAAAATAAATAAACACTTAAAAAAATGTTTAAAAAATAAACTATACAGTTTGACAAGTTTACAATCAAAATCAGTAAGATTATAATCAAGATAATCAATATATCTATCCATTGCCCAAAAAAGTTTCATCATGCCCCTCAAAGGGATATTTTTAGTCATCAATCCTTAAACCTGAATCTTTTTCCAATCCAAAGCTGCTTTTGAAGACATGTCAAAAGATGTAGGTGCAGCCTATTTATTTATCTGTTTCTTATGTTATTTTAACTTCAGTGCCAACATGCTGCAGGTGCAATTTAAATGCTCATTAAACACACTCCAACGTACAGAGAAATGTATTTATGTGATTCTGTAATAATTGTTACAAGTGTTGGAGATAAACTATAAAACTGCACCATGCACAATACTGAACCATATCCAACAGACAGAAGTCACTTTCAAGTGCCACAAGAAAACAGAATCTATGACCGAGGTACAATATTGCTGAAAACGCAAAATCAAAACCGAAACACTAAAACCCTATCAAGATGACCAGTCTAGGGGCGCCTGGGTGGCTTAGTCAGTTGAGCGTCTGTCTGACTCTTGATTTTGGCTCAGGTCATGATCCCAGAGATGCGGGACTGAGCCTCGCATTAGGCTCTGTGCTGACAAGGGCTGAGCCTGCTGGGATTCTCTCTCTCTCCACCCCCTCCATCGCTCCCCTGTTTGTGTTCCCTCAGTTTCTCTCAAAAAAAAACAAAAAAAAAACAACCATAAAAAAAAAAAAATACCTTTGCCGGGTCACAAGGCCGCCGATTGATAAAGAAAAACTGTCTGTCTGTTGAGCTTCTTCCAACACCATGAGCACAGTGAGAAATGAAACCAGAGATGCTGTACAATGTTCACACGGTAAGGACAGGATTCCAGAATGGAAACAGTAACATGTCAGAGGGCACATTCATAAAGTAAAAACGAAATAAAATATAACCCCTGGTTACACACTGATAAGTATTAACATTTCAGTTGATGCGTGTCGTGTCTGTGTTCCACTCTGATAAATCATAAAAAGGACACAGACCTTCTGGCATGTTCTACAGCTCCTACGGTCAATGAATCCACCACAGGAAATGCAGTGGGTTCAAAACAGATTTGCTTCAGCTCTTCTCTCACTTGCCCTATTAAATTCTTGGCCTCTATGCAAGGAAGGAGTCTCACCCAAAACTCACATTCTAGAATCTTCAAGCTGTCCCCACCAGCTGCCCAGGGAGCTCAACTACTTGTATTCAGGATTTCTGCACGCACTCCCTGCCCTTTTAGAACGTGTTCTCCTTGGGGCGCCTGGGTGGCTCGGTGGGTTAAGCGTCTCTTGATTTCAGCTCAGGTCAAGAGCTCATGGTTAGTGGGTTCAAGCCCTGCATCGGGCTCTGCACTGAGTGCGGAGCCTGCTTGGGATTTGATGTCTCCCTCTCTCTCTCTCTCTGCCCCTTCCCCATTCACTTTCTTGGTCTCTCTAAATAAACTTCAAAAAAATTTTTAAAGTAAAAAAAGACAAGACAAGACAATCTGTTCTCCATCAGCAAACTCCTATCTCCTAAGGTATTGTTAAAGAGATTCCTCAGGGCACCCGGTGGCTCAGTCAGTTGAGCACCCAACTCTTGATTTAGGCTCCAGTCACGATCCCAGGGTTGTGGGATGGAGCCCGACTCAGGCTCTGCGCTGGGGCACTGTGCTCTCTCCCTCAGCCCCTCACCCCAACTCACTCACTCTCTCTTTCTCTCTAAAATAAAAAAAATTACAGTGCTCCCTCTGCCTGTGATCTACCCGGGGTATGTGCACTCTGCACTCTGTAAGAATGGTGTGCACACAAAAGAAATTAATCTCTGCATGTGAGCCAGGGGCAAGTAGACAGTGAGCAGGCGTGGGCCATCACAAGGCCAATCCCAAGTAGGGGCAATGCCAATTTTTCTTACCCTGAGAGTAGTGACAGTGGACAAGATATTGGGTAAGGCATGAATGAAAGGAAACACTATTCCGCTCTGTCAAATCCCCATAAGGCAAAACATATACGTAAATTAAAAATTATTTTAATTTGTCACTAAGCAGTTTCCTTACTACAAAGGTTTCAATAGGAAATCAATAGGAAACCAAAGAATTCAATAGGAAATCCCCTCAAGTGCACCAGGGACCCAGGATATTGAACGAATTAAGTAACGGACCCCTTTATAAAAATCCTCTTTCTCTGCAATAATAATGCCTATAACTTTACAACGAATATAAAAACTATAAACCTTAAAATCACGATCTTTAAAAACAAAAGCCTCCAGGGGCACCTGGGTGGCTCAGTCGGTTGGTTGAGTGTCTAACTCTTGATTTCGGCTCAGGTCGTGATCCTCATGGGTTCATGAGTTCGAGCCCTGCTTCAGACTTCGCGCTGACAGCACAGAGCCTGCTGGGGATTCCCTCTCTCTCTCTCTCTGCCCCTCCCCTGCTTGTGCTATCTTTCTCTCAAAACAAATACATACATACATACATACATACATACGTACCCAGACAAAATGTTTGATTGTAATTTTCCCAGCAGCAATCTACTCACCGAAACAGAGTCTGCAAAGCATCACCGTGGCTCAGCCCGTACTCTTCACACACAGAGTCACTAGGGGGCAGCTGAACAAAAGGAATGAGGCTTTGCAGCTAAAAGAGACAAGACTCACAGTTAATTCCTAACAAAATTAGGATGAACCTAATTTCAGAAAGGAAGGGTTTTGTGTGTTTGCTTTTCCTGGTCAGGCCACTCAGGGTAAGAGCACAAGGAATCTCGGTGGGTGATTCTGGCAGCTATCATAACTGAAATTTTGATTTATCGGAAGGATGGACCACTTGAGCGCATACTTATCCATAATCAATACATTGCCCACAACACCCTTTTTCAGATGCAGAGTAAAAGGAGGGTTTTATTCTCTGGAAGAATAAAATAAAAAAATCTTTCAGCTCTCAGCATTAACTCTTGTGGTAAGTACCTAATTAAGAAATCAATTATTGGGGGCTCCTGGTTGGCTCAGTCGACAGAGCAGTCGACTCTTGATCTCAGGGTTTTAAGTTCGAGTCCCACGTTGGGGATAAAGCTTACTTAAAAATTAAAATCTTTAGGGGTGCCTGGGTGGTTCAGTCAGTTAAGCGTCCTTCTTGATTTCAGCTCAGGTCACGATCTCATGGTCATGGGATCGAACCCCATGTCAGGCTCAGTGCTGAGTGTACAGCCTGCTTAAGAGTCTCTTTCTCTCTACCTCTGCTCTCCGCCCCCCATCTGTCTCTCTCTCTTTAAAAAAATAAAAAATAAAATAAAATAAAAATCCTAAAAAAAAAAAATCAATTATTGGATTTCCTTCTCTCGTCTTTGGAAAGGACAAGAGAAACCTGCCATAATTACTAGAGGAATAAAATGTTTTTTAAATAACTGGCCACCACTACCTGTTTCTGCCCAAACACAGATCCAATATTCTCCTTTATGCTGGAGCTTCCGCTTGTGCAAACCACAGGCTGGCGTTTTCCTTGTCCAACCTGATTGCTGCAACTTACACGGATGCCTGCTGCAATGATACAGTATGCTTGTAAGACTTGGACCATTCTGGCATACTCCTGTTTAAAAAACACAAATACGAGACTCGACGTTACTTTAATCCTACAAAAACTACATGGTTCAAGTTAAAACATCCAACTCAAGGTTCTCATATCGGCGCACAAAGAAGAAAAACTGTTCCTGACAGAAGGAGCTGTGAATACCTTTATGCATGTATACCTTTGTATTCAACGTATACCCTCACACGTAGTATAAGAGAGAGCTCAAGAGGCTTAGGTTCCTAACCACACTTCTCTTGTGTCCACGATGTCCACGCCCACTGCTATAAAAATCAAAAAGTGCATTCCACTGGACCTGGTAATCCTTCCTTTATAAATTTATCCTTGTAGAATGACTGGCACAAATAATCAAAGATATATTACAAAAATGTTCACTGAAACAATCTGTAATTGTGAAAAAAAGTTTATTTAAAAGTTATTTCATCAGACAGTGAGTCAATTAGGTCAAACTGTTTTTTCTCTCATTAAAAAATGTTTTTATGTTTATTTTTTGAGAGAGAGAGAGAGAAAGAGAGGGAGAGAAAGAGAGAGAGAGAGAGAGAGAGAGAGAGAAAATCCCAATCAGGCTCCACACCATCAGTGCAGAGCCCAATGCAGGGCTTGAACTCACAAACTGTGAGATCATGACCTGAGCTGAAACCAAGAGTCAGACGTTTAACTCACTAAGCCACCCAGGTGCCCCTGTAATTGTGAAAAATTAAAAAGAACCTAAGCTACCATCAACAAGGAGTTAATAAATTATGGTATATCCATATAATGGCAGAATGATAGAGAATAAAGTAACGAGTCAACCAAAAAAGACACACGATCAAAGAAGATACCTACGACATACTATAGAAATGGTCAAGTTATAGAACCGTAACGTATAATGTGATCCTAATTGTTAAGAAAAAAATAAAATGTATGCATTAAAAAAATAAATAAAAACCTTTACAAAAGAAAATCAAAGATCGGATTTTATTCTCCATTCTATGGAATAAAGGTTCCACCTGTATATCAGTCTAAAGGATATACACCAAACTCTGGGAGGCAGACAGACACAATCTCAACTTTCTTTTTTTTTTTTTTTTAATTTTTTTTTTAACGTTTATTTATTTTTGAGACAGAGAGAGACAGAGCATGAACAGGGGAGGGGCAGAGAGAGAGGGAGACACAGAATCTGAAACAGGCTCCAGGCTCTGAGCGGTCAGCACAGAGCCCGACGCGGGGCTCGAACTCACGGACCGCGAGATCGTGACCTGAGCTGAAGTCAGGCGCTTAGCCGACTGAGCCACCCAGGCGCCCCTCAATCTCAACTTTCTACTACATATAATCCTGTATTACTTACATCTTTATATTCTGTATTGTTTCATTTCATTATATTAATTTATCTTGAATTTTTTTTCTCAAGATTTGTAAATACATGAAATTAAAAAGGAGCCTGGAAACACATATATCACACTATTAACAAGGGTCTTTTCCAGCAAGTAGAAGTTCTTTATTCCTATAGTTTTTGAGGCACTGATTTTTTTTTACCATGAGATATAAAAAATGAATAATAATTTTTTTCTATACAAAAAATTTTTAATTTTTTTTGGTTTTTAAAAATTTTTTTAATGTTCATTTATTTTTGAGAGAGAAAGAGAGCACGAGCAGGGGAGGGGCAGAGAGAGAGGGAGACACAGAATCCGAAGCAGGCTCCAGGCTCTGAGCTGTCAGCACAGAACCTGATGTGGGGCTCGAACTCATGAACTGAGAGATCATGACCTGAGCCAAAGTCAGATGCTTAAACAACTGAACCACCCAGGCACCCCCAAATTTTTAATTTTTAAATAAAAATGAAAAAATGGTTTTATCCACAGGAAATATACATTCTTGTAAAATTTGCACTATAACTTGTGCAAATTGCTGTACAAGAAAGTGTTTAGCTGCATCCATTTAAATAACTTTTTGATTACAAAAAGATAGATACACAAAAGAGAAAAGTGCAAGGAAGACAGCAAAAAGCACCTGTGATCACACATGCGTCAATAACCACTGGTAACAATCACACGTCTTCCCTTCCAGCCTTCTTCCTATGCATATTTCGGCTAACTGCTTTGCTTTTACAAAACTATATGATTACATGTATATACGCAGACACACATAAATACACGTAGGCACAGTTTAGAACTGCTTTCTTTTTGATGTTTATTTATTTTTGAAAGAGAGAGCGAGAGAGCAAGCAAGTGGGGGAGCGGCAGAGAGAGGCAGACACACAGAATCCGCAGTAGGCTCCAGGCTCTGAGCTGTCGGCACAGAGCCCGACGCGGGGCTCAAACTTATGGGCCTTGAATTTATGGGCTGTGAGATCATGACCTGAGCCGAAGTCGGACGCCTAACCCATTGAACCACCCAGGTGCCCCTAGAACTGCTTTTTAAGCACAACTGATATATTTATTTCATTTCCATTCAAATTCATAAAAGTTGTAACACTTCATTTTTCAGGAAACCAAGAAAAACATCTTATTAAAAACTACGGACAGAATGAAAAAGGTTACTTCTTAAAGAATTCATTCCCATGTTAGAACACCTAATAAATATGATTTAATGACTTTTTTGTTCCCCCCAAGAAAAAAAGAGAGGATACATCAACCTCAAGCTCAGTCTTTGGTCAGGAAAAGACAAACTAAGCACGCCCCAAAAAAGTCAGGGAAGAGAATCATCTGAAGAGTTAATTTCAGTGCACATTACTGTGGTATATCTCTCACTACATGTGTATCAATGCTCTCAGAGGCTGGAGTTCTGAATTTACTGTACATTTTTCTTTTTTTAATGTTCATCTATCTTTGAGAGAAAGAGAAAGAGAGTGCGAACAAGGGAGGGGCAGAAAGAGAGGGAGACACAGAATCCAAAGCAGGCTCCAGGCTCCAAGCTGTCAGCACAGAGCTTGACTTGGGGCTCGAACTCATGAACCGCGAGAGTGTGACCTGAGCCCAAGTCAGACACTTAACCGAGACTGAGCCACCCAGATGCCCCTAACGTACCTTTTTAATATTCCTTTGAAACTCCTTATGGCGCACAGGGAGTGTATAAAATAGCTGCTGCACACTGACCGTTGTCCCTCTGGGTCGCGGGTGGGGGGTTTTCTGGACGATTTTCCCATTGTGATCAAACACAAGCCGAGTCCCGACCTTCGCGGATGCGTGGCAGGTAGAAATAGTCACATCGCTGTGAGAGAGAGCAGATGCGACACGGTCAGACACGGACAGGTGCTGGACATCACATGCTCATTCTCCCACTTCTGTTCTCTAAAACCTCTCCTGAAAAAATGCTGATCCCTCTGAGATAATCGAGAAAGTTTACATGGGTGAGGGGTCATCATAGAATCTAAATCTTGGCGCCTAATAGTAAGACAGAGAGTTCTATAAATGCTTTGTTTCGATGAAAGCTTTGATACTTGTTTTTATGGTTAAACGGCAAAATAAAAGGTCTCACAGCTTACATATTAACAAATAAAGATTTATTTCTCAGTTTTATTCCTACTGATTTAACAAAACTTTTAACAAGGATCCAAAAAATATTATAGTTCCAATGCGTAAGTAATTATTCATAAAAACCTAGACTCTGTTAATATATGATAAGCATTTCGGTTAAATTTTTTCCTAAACACTGAAATGAATCAAAACCAACACATCTGTAACTTATTATCTACGTGCCATTTTAAAATTGAGAAGTTACTGCTTTAACAAGGGTAATAATTCTTTTACAATACTATTTCATTTCATTGCTTACATTTCGGAAGTATTACCACTTAGATTGGCAGTAAGATAAAACAGAATGTGGAAGTTTGAAGTTGAGACACTCAGCATGGAGAAGTATAAACAACAATGATTCTAACCCCACGTTTTCAGGTTCAGAGAGATTTTCGTAAGGGGTCAAGTTAGTGGATAAAAATATTGTTATCACCTCAGTGCACAAAGTGAACTCAGAGCTTCCCCCCGAAAGCCAAAAGTTTCAACCTGAGTTAGGTCACCAAAGTCTTGAATCTTAGAAGTGTGATGTTTCAGAGCTGAAAGAGAGGTACACAGTAAGACCAAAAATATTTCAAGGGATATACCCCTGAATAAATACCACACCTACCAAAGCAACTGGTTTTAAAAAGCTGTTTTTGTGTTTCCTAAGACAGTGTTACTCAAAGTTTGGAAACATTTTGCTCAAATATTTAAAAATAGGACTAGAGGCACCTGGGTGCCTGTCCGTTAAGCATCAAACTCCAGCTCAGGTCATGATCTCACGGCTCATGAGTTCGAGCCCCGCGTCGGGCTCTGTGCTGACAGCTTGGAGCCAGGAGCTTGCTTTGATTCTGTGTCTCCCTCTCTCTCTCTGCCCCTCCCCACTCGTACTCTGTCTCTCTCTCAAAACATAAGTAAAACACTAAAAAAAAAAAAAAAAAAAAAAAAAAAAAAAAAAAAGGATTAGAGAAACTCCACTTACTTAAGCCTTCAAAGTTTTCTTCTTCTACCCCACATCCATTGTCTGAAACTTCAATGAGATCCACCCCATAGTCTTTGAGCCTTAGATCTAAAAAGTTTAACAAATTAATTTATTTGATCCATGTAAATAAGCCTTTATACTCACATTACTTATAACTTATGTAATACAAATTAGAGTCATAATTACACTTACTTAAATGTACTACTGTCATTTTGTGTATTTCATTTTCTTTAAAAGGACTTCTTCGCAATTTACTAACCCAGATAAAATAGTTTTCTCTTTTCTCTCTTTCCTTCCTTTCTACCTTTCTTTCAAAAGGATAATTTCAAGAGTCATTACGGAAAAAAGGCTCTGTAATCAGACTTCCTGGAATCACATTTTCCTAGCTCTATGACCTCAAAGTAAATTCCCGTGCCTTCATTTTCTGTTCTATAAAATGAATATAGTAGTGATAATAATTCCTATCTCATACGGTTATTCAGCAGATTAGAAACAGCTGTGTGGCACTAGTAAGAACACAATAAAAGTTAATTGCTTTTATTACTACCTACCTAGGCACATAAAAGACGCTAAATTTAAGTTTAAAACATAGTAGTTTCTCAGTATATCAACATCTGGTTGTCTTATTACAATCACAAATGTTTCTTGAATAATACAGTATAAACTGATTATTTCCTGTGGCTTAAAACTCTTCTAAACTTACCAATATTAGTGGCACCGGCATCCACACTATTTTCTACCAACTCCTTCACAGCAGTACTTAGACTCAGTACTACTTGTCCAGAACAAATCTGATGGACTGACCTCCGATCGATAGGCTTGATGGCCTTAGCAAGTTCTGTACTAAAGACACCAGTTACAAGAAACAAAGCAAGTATGCATTTATGTATTTTCATCCTGGCTTTAGCTGCGGGAAATGATTCATCTCTGTTAATAGTCAATGTATCTAACACGTTCATTTATTATATTAACATATCCCTTGAGCATATTCTTAAATATAAACGTTGTTCTACGATCCTTACACATTTGTCAAAAAATCTGAATAGATACTTCAAATGTAATGGGTATTTAGAAATTTATTATACTAGGATCTACACGGAGGAGACACATGTACCCTTAAACCTACAGGTCAATAATCTTTGGCAACAATGAGATCTTCTTCCGAAAAGTGAAAACAACATTTCTCACAAGATTTGAAAAACCACAAGTATGGTGGGCAATACACAGCGTTTATGTTAAAATCAAAACCATCTTAGAAACTGGGTACTGGTTCTATCACTACTCCCAAAGAAGCCTTTGAATCTCCACTCCCATTCCAGGCTGCTGGCTGCTGCCGTAGCAAAGACTCCCCCAAAGTTCTTGCTATACCTGCTTTAAGAGTTTCCCAACCAATCTGTTTCCACTTTCTCCCTACTCCGATCCACCTTCCATGAAACCATCAGTTTAAAAATCATTAATCTGGCCAAATAATTTCTCTGCTGAAAAATCTACTACTGTTGGGGCACCTGGCTGGCTCAGTCGGAGGTGCATGAGACTTCTGATCTTGTGGTCCTGGGTTCAAGTCCCACCTTGGGCATACAGATTGCTAAAAAAAATACATAAACTTTAGGAAAAAATTTTTTTGAAAAATCTACTAGCGTCCCACTGTCTCCTACATTAAGTTTAAAATCTCGTCCTAACTGGACCCCAGTCTACTTTTCTCTCATTCTCTCCAATCCTCTCCCTTCACCAACTCCCTTACATTCTAGTAATAGCAAACTGTTTCCTGAATATCACAAGCTGTTTTAGACTCACATACAAATCTTTTGGTCTAGACTGCTCCCCTCTTCCTCCTCTGCCTGGCAAACTCCTGTCATCCCAAGAACGTATTCCTTATGTTCGTTGATTTAGCAATTTCTTGTAAGCAGTTTAATTGATAATGTGGATGTAACAGAACCCAGAAGCCTCCATGGGAGAGAAATCTTTGGGTCTTCTCCCACAGCATCTAACACACAGCAGACCTTCGATAAACTCTTATAAGATAAAGGGAACAAACATCTTTACTCTTCATTCTACCTTGAAAAAAATTTCGCTCAGGTTTCTCTTAAATGTGGAAACTGCAGATGACAATATAAAATGGAAAGAAGTATCTCTTAAACTTATTTATTTGGCTAACAAGTCCACTTCTGATACTTATTTTAAGGACTGGGGATGAAACATTTAAACACAGACCGCGAATCTGGGTTCAGGAAGCTGACACTGAATTCAACAGTGCTAGCTGAAGATTCGCCGCTCTGAACTGCATGCAGTTTACTAACCAGCAATGACATACTCGAAGAGATACAAAAGTTCTGCATTTTCAAAAACGGTGCGGCTATGCAAATTAGCATTTGCCTTGAAGCCTCCCCAAAATAACCTCAATTTTCAAAAAAAGAAAAGAAAGAAACCAGGCAGAGAAAAAATGAATTCAGTCTCCAGGCACTTCGTGCTCCGGCTTCCAGTCCATGGACGTGTGGCGGCGTCAGAGCAGAGTCTGCAGGGAGCCGACCGGATGCTCCCGCCGAGCCCAAAGGGCAGCAGGTAGGGGGGCTCGCTCCGGGGCCTCCGCGCCGGCTCGCCCAACGCTGCGTCCTCCTTCCATTCCATTCCAGGAATCTGGAACGCCGTGGACCTCAGGGAGAGCGACCGCGAGGGGACACTGCAAGCACCTCTCACCTTGGCCCTTCGGCTAGCTCCATGGATCCAGAATGTGACCCACCTCCGGGACTCGGGACAGTTCCCGCCGCCGCCGCTCCCACGGAGGCTCGGCCTCCCGGCTGCCCATTGGCCGCTTCCGACACTGTGCCCCGCCCCTTCCGGATGGGGCAGCCGACGATTCCCACACCTCCTTCTTGCTGATTGGTTGTGTAAAAGGTCGAGGCCGTGAGGTAAGAGGGCGCGGGCCAATTAGACCATACGGACTGCGCTTTCCCGAAAGGCCGCAGCCGGATCGGAAAGGACGTGGCCGCAGTGTGTCGTCGTCTCGGACGGTTTCTCAGCGTTCGTGTCCCTCATCTGCCACTTTCCGTCCTTTGGTTCCCACGATGCCGATGTACCAGGTAAAGCCCTATCACGAGGGCAGCGCATCTCTCCGTGTAGAGCTTCCCACCTGCATGTACCGGCTCCCCAACGTGCACGCCAGAACCGGCAGTCCAGCGCCGGACTCAGGCCACGTGCAGGTAGGAGCGCGCGTGTCCCTCCCCGCCCCCACCCGCCCTGTGCGTACGTTTTCCACCCTTTTGCAGTGCGCAAGCGCGAAGTCACATCCCCGGGTCTTCCGCCCAGTGCGCAGGCGCCTTGGCCGGGTCAGTCGGGGGTGAGGGGCTGAGGGTCGCGTCTCCTCCGGCTGGAGCCCTGAGATCCGACAAGCTGCAGTGGGGAGTGGTGGAGGCCCGGCTTCACGCTCCCGCCAGTTCTCTGTACCTGCTTTTGTCTATTAAAAGCTCTAATCCTCTTGTATCTCTTTTTCCCGCTTATGGTTACTTAAGGTTTTTTGTTACCAAATTTTGGCCACAGCAAAGTGAGGAGCACGTAAATGTTAATTTTGAGGAATCCTTAGGCGAACCCCGGTGTCCCCGCCACCCTGGTTAACGTTGTCAGCGCCCCCAGGGCCCGACTTCCGCGGTCCCTGCGCCCTAAGCCTGCGTCCCCAAGCCGCCGCGTCGCTGTCGTGCCGCCTCCCGCAGGCTTGCCTCGGGATCGCGGGCAGCGGGTCCGCAGCGGCCGCTGTCGCGCGCGAGCAGGCCTAGGGTGTGCGTGCTCGCCCTGGGACTGGACCGCCTGCACCTGCACCGGGTGCACCGCCTCCCTAAGCGGCGTGTGCGCCCCGGCGGTGGGCCCGGAGCTCCTGGCGCTGGCACCCTCCCCAGCGCGGGCGGGTGGACCGGGGGAGCCTGGTGTCCTTTCAGTTCGGGTTTTCCAGATTTCTGGGCCAGTGGAGCGCTTTTTCCTGAGGGCTGGCCATTCTAGTGGTCTCTTTTCCAAAGCCTCTGCCCAAGCCTTTCGTGTTTTTTGTTTCGTTTTTTATGGGCCGCAGATACACTTCTTAGGTTTCCAACAGGAGACACCTTCCCTCCATTCTGACTGAAGATGAGTGAACAGGTAACTTTTGTTCTCCCGGGGAGAGTTATCCTTCAATTTGTTTTAATAGCCTTCTGCCTAGATTGGAAGGCGGGTGGTTAGGTTAGCTGGAAAATGGTGACACAGTTGTCTCACTAGGGAGCTAGGACAGAAATAGCACCATGATCCAATGCCCATCACTGGACACAGGACAGTTGCAGGGAATTAAAAACAAAACCCAGACCCAGAGTTGGGAGTGCCACTGTCTCATTTGAGACCAAGTCTTTTTTTTTTTTTTTTTTT